CACAAAAAACACAGATTCAGTATTCCTCAAAATGAACACAAATAATGCAACTCAGAATATGACGCAAACCTGCAATAATTAAATATTAAACAACACAAATATCCTTTATGTATTTAATCCCGATCTATTAACCAATGTCTTCGATGATCCAGTTCAACCGTACTAATAAGCACAAATTACTCTAGACAAACATTTGTGTTTTTCTTTGTTTATTGCTGAAGTGTGTTGAAATGTCTTCTTCTGCATTCTACTGTACGGACGTAAATGTACTTTCCCTTCAACCTGAGGCTGATTCATTTCACTTTTGGTGTGAAAAGGCTTTTATATTTGCCAAAAATAGAACTTTTTTATTTTAAAAACAAACAAGCAAGCCCTGTCCAGATTTAAAAAGTAACGCAAAAGTAACGTAACGCATTGCTTTCCATAAAAAGTAACCAAGTAACGTAATTAGTTACTTTTTTTATGGAGTAACGCATTACTTTTAAAAGTAACTTTCCCCAACACTGGTAGTAACCCATCTGTGAGTATTTTGGCGGAGACTATGGTTGCCATAGTAAAGTTTTGTAAGAGCCACCTATCTACAGTGAAGATTCTACAGTGAAGTGAATTGAGAAGTTATTTCTGAACGGTTCAAATGAATCAAAATAAAGAACCGATTCAAAAGAACGAGTCGTTCGCGAATCGAACATCACTAGTATCTGTCGCGCCGCCAACTGGAAGGAACCGAGCTCAAACAGTTCGCACAAATCGTTGATAGAGACGTGCGCTGCGTTCAAAACGCTAGTCATTCTTCGCGTCTGTATGAGCTAGATTCTGTGGGGTTTTCTTTCACTATGAAGCTGCTCATTTGTCTATGGAATACTGTAAATAATCTCTGGTCGATAGATTGAAAGTAACGCGTCGGATATTTGTATATTAATCGCGTGTTTGGCAGAGAAACGATGCATTATGATTCATGGTCATCTAATAACTGGAACAGGTAGGTGTTTTACTGACCCTCTCTGTCATACTATTGTTAGATATTGTTTCCATGTCAGAAATAAAGGAAACATACAGGGAAGTGAAAATGATGGTTTGATGAGCGGAGGATATTCAGATCGAGATGATGGTTTTATGATAGTTTACCACCCACAGTAACAAACACTGCTAGCAAACACTCCTTGTTATTAAATATCCTGCATGTATTCAAAAGGCAGATTTTCAGCTCATGTTAAATCGGGACTAGCTCTACTGATTTAGAAATGTCTCTCAAATACAGATCGCGCCATAGAAACACATGGTGTGCAGAGAACTGGACTCGAAATGAAAAATGGTAGGCATGCCAGATGACAAGCTTCTAAGACACTGAGGCGTTCTAAGCAGATCAAATAATAATTCTGCTTAATTATCTCAATAATATTGCCTGAATATCCGACTATTGCGTATGTTTACTAACCTAAGTTTTGTTTTCTATCCTGCTGTTTTACTACGCTCTATAGTTTGCCATTCTCTACTGTACATTTTCATACTTTGTTGTAAAATTCTACTCTATAGTTGACCTTATTCTATACTATATTTATCTTTGTTTCACCTATTAGTAAACACGGGAAAAGCTTTGAAGACTGTGTTTGCTAAGGGAATAAAAGTAAACACATTCATACTCTGTTCTATCGTGCTCTACTCTAAATTCATTGTTATGCCATTTTGCAAACTTATTCTGAATAATAATAATAAAAAAGTGTTGAACTCTGCTCTACAGCTCCATACTCTACTAATGTAGGGTGACCATACGTGCCATTTTCCCTGGCCAGGATTTCTATATTGCCTAAAATATCTAGGTTTTGGCTTTGTTTGCGTCGGTGTATGACATCAAAATACCTCGAGAGCATTTTGAAAGCATAAGGAACTGTCTGTATGGTATTTTGATGTCATACACCGATCGGTCTGCACACGCAAACAAAGCCAAAACCTAGATATTTTAGGCAATATAGAAATCCTGGCCAGGACGCGTCCTGGGAAAATGGCACGTATGGTCACCCTAACTAATGGGCATTTTGGGACGCCTGTTGGTAACTATTGACTGGGGTAGATCTCCTGTCTTAACAGGGGACAGTGTCACTTATCTTTATTTCTGTCTTACATTGTGTCCTCTTCAGTAACCTTTCTTTGGTCGCAGGATCTTACAGTGGACGGGCATGAAGAGATCGGATGGTGTGGATTAGATTATTGGGAATATATCGCTTTGATTTCTCTCATCTCAATGTTGGGCTCCAGAGGACCTCTGCCTTTGTGCTCTGAAATGAAATAATGGCAACGCATTGGGCTGCATCAAAGCACCAAGATGAGAAGAAAAATCCAACCGGGTCGTCAGTTTTTGAGGTAAATCATTTCGATGCTTTAAGAGAAATGTAGAAGCGCAATTAAAAAGACATTAAGGCCTGCACCATCTACAGCTCATGACAGGACACGTGCTTCAGTCGGACTCTTGTAGTGCAGGCGGGACGTCCATAAACTCAACAGGATGATTAGAACTTTTTTTTTGTTTTTTGTGCATGTTGATTTTATTTTGATTGGTCTGTTCAAACCTTTTTTTCAATGAAGTTCAACAAGAAAAGAAATATATATATATATATTTATCTACTGTGGCAACTACTTACAGGCCGCTGGTATTAATAAATGCTTGTAATGTGAGAAAATTAGACCTTTTTTCAATAAAATAGAATTTTAGAGATGGAGAACACATGGCATAGTATTATCTTGTTAGAAGCAGCCGGTGACTGTTTACACTGAGACGGCAATCATTAAATGAAGTAGCCTATTTATTTTATTTGGCAAGCAAAGCCCTTACTTATCTAATCTCAGTAATGTTGTAAGGCTGCCAATGCATAATGTCACTCTTCAGAATACAAGAGCAGCGTTGGATTTTGCGTGTCCACTCTGACATGTGGCGTTACATCATCACTGAGAACATAACGCCGTGCTGCAAACGCATGCTTGGATTAACCTATCAGTAACGGCAATACCAGTTTGTGTGTGTGTGTGTGTGTGTGTAATCTCCTTAGTAGGCTCAGGGTCTGTGGGTACAGAAGGTTGGTGGGCACAACAGTTTGCAAACACATCAACAGATCACTTATTATGCATCCAGAGGGATTCAGTATTTAAATTCTATGTTTATTTCTTGAACGCAGCCAGTTCTCGAAAGAAATTGTTTACTGTGAAGAAACAGAACGTTGCTTTGAAGGATCAGTGCATTTCTTCAAAAGTGCAATGCATTATTTGGAATTAACAGTGCATTGTTTTGAAGGAACGTGCATTATTTTAAAAGAACAGTGCTTTTTTGCATGTTATATTTTGTGTGGATTCAGCTGTTTGATAAAAAAACATCGCTGATAAGGTCTGAAGTTTAAAGCAGTAGGCTCATTTGAATAATGTCTTCTGAAACTCTTAACAACATTAAAATGATGTTCACACAGAATGTGTTCTTGCATTCAACTGTGATGCATTTCTATTGTTTTTGTATAAGCATACAGTAGATGGAGGCGTTTGACCGTTGTGCTTACTTCGTGGTGCTTAAGTTAAAAATATTTATTTGCATTTCTATACCTTGTGTTTTTCATTCCACTGCCTTGTGTGTCATGTTTTTAAATACAAAAAACACTTCCCTCAGAATCACTAATCGTGATGCTGTTGCACAGTTTTGGGGCTCTGGTTGTCTCAGTCCAGTGCTACCTAGTTATAAAGTTAAACAGTAACTGAAGTTCTCAGCAGGTGCGTGAAAGTCCCCAGCAGACTCATAAAAAAGCTTTTATCCACACCATTAAATAATGCCTTCTTGAGTTAACAGCGTTTGAGCTTCAGTAAGCTTCATTGCACTACCATCAGTACACTATATAGTTTTAAGATTACAGTTTAAACAGTGTGATTTACTATTATAGTTCAGTACACTAATATTTGTAATATTTATGTGTTATACAGACAGTAGCTCTGTATCAAGACCTGGTGAGCTGCCTACATAGCCAGCCTTCTTCTGTGCCAACATCCTAACCATCTTGCATGGAAACTCACAACTGACTGATTCAGACACCCTACATAGACAGCAACTCCTCTAACTAATTGTGAATTAGTAGGATTTGGTCTTAAAAGGAAGCAAAATTATGTTTCATACCTTTTCAGCTTCCCATTGGCAACATGTCTACAATATGCTTCTTTAAAATTCGGTCTTGCTAGACAACCTACTAGGAGAAAATGAAATGCAGTGGCATTATGTCTGTCTAGTCATTCTATATAGTGCCACTCTCAAACCTAAACATTACAGCGTGTAATTGCTTTGTTTATATGCATGAAAGAGTGATGTGGTCCATTATCCACACATTTGGTGTCCCTCATGGTTATTTGTGGGGTCCAATTGTGTTCACGCCTGTGATGAAGCTTGTTTAAATCATTATCACCCTGGAGTCCTCCACTTCCTGTTTAACATGAGTGAAACCAGTGTTCTACTTCAATAACATCACACCCAAGACACACATAAAGATATAGGGTATGTATAGTAATATGCATCAGTTCCTCAGTCATGGAGCTTTCCTTAAGTCCTTCTTTGTAGAGCATGGACAGGTGCAGGACTGTACCTGCTCCGGTCTCTCTTGACACTTATTAAATGCCCCCAGGGGTTTATTGTGCTCGGTGGCCTCAGGTGGGCCCGTTATTCTGTCCCATCTAGGTCTCCATGTCTAATGAGGGCGTCACTCCCTGTCTGTCTCTCTCTCTCTCTTTGTGTCTCCCTCCCTCGGTCTCTCTGCCCCCTGCGAGGACGCTAGCGCCATGGAGGGTAATTAAAGCCCAGCTGCTTTTTGCTTTTACACTTCCACTCCCTCACTCACACACATATGTGACCCTGGACAACAAAACCAGTCATAAGGGTACATTTTGAATGAGATTCATACACCATCTCAGGGTTTGTTACAATATTTGGCCGAGATACAACTATTTGAAAATCTGGAATCTGAGGGTGCAAAAAAATCCAAATATTGAGAAAATCGCATTTAAAGTTGTCCAAATGTAGTTTTTAGCAATGCATATTACTAATCAACAATTACGTTTTGACATATTTACAGTAGGACATTTACAAAATATCTTCATGGAACATGATCTGTACTTAATGTCCTAATTATTTTTGGCATAAAAGAAAAAGCAATAATTTTGACCCATACAATGCATATTTGGCTAATGCTACAAATATATCCCAGCGACTTAAGACTGGTTTTGTGCTCCAGGGTCACATATACTCTGGTGTTCCCCAGATGAGTTTTGAATTCTGTGTCTCTTGTAAAGCTTGTTGAAAAGTAAATCTGACAGTTCAAAAGTTTAGGGTCTGTAAGTCTTTGCATTTATTTGATCAAAATAGTAATAGTGTGAAATATTATTACAATTTAAAACAACTTTTTTTAAGAAAGTCACAGATTAAATTCTGTGATTGCAAAGCTGAGTTGTCATCAGCCATTACTCCAGTCTTCAGTGTCACATGATACTTCAGAAATCATAGTAATATATTAATTTGGTGTTCAGGAAACATTTCCTATTCTTGCTGAAAACAGATGTGCTGCCTAATATTTTTCTGGAAACTGTGATACTTTTTTCAGGATTCTTTGATGAATAGAAAGTTCAAAAGAACTGAATTTAATTAATACAACATTATTGTAACATTATAAAAAATTACATATCAATCAACCACTGTACAATGCAATAACTTGCACCATCTGTAATATATACAGTACATATATTTTTTTTAGCTAAAGTCACCAATACCCTCAACCACATGGCTCTGGAATTTACTGTATCACTCGCGTTTCATGATGCAGTCAATTCCTAAATGAATAAAACCAATCCCCGCCCTCCATTTTCTTCATTTTCAATATCCCATTTCATTCAGTAATACAGTACATCATATTATAGACTTGACTTTAGTGTTTATCTGTGAATCGTTTGCTCAAATCATTAAGCGATTGAGGTTCATGCTTTTGTAGATGTTGTGGAGACGCCCTTAACAAACTCTCCTTTTAGATCTGACCATTGTATCATTGAATCCAATGGACCAAACCATAATCCAATGTTGACCGGGCTGTTTCTGTGTGCCATCTCGGACCAGTGCTTTGAGTTGCCACTTCAGCCCTTCACCCGCTCATTCTATTTCCATATGTATTGATTTCTGTTGTCTGTTCAGGAAAAACAGACGGAGAGAGGGTTAGATGCTATGCCGTAAACACCCACAAAATCACAACCGAGCACAGTATGCACAGAGCAGTTGCCTGTCTTTTCTGCCATTGTGGTTTGGATACTGGTTTCTCTGCCAGGTTTCATTGGTCAACTGGCTTCACGTCGGCATCCTGGACCAGCATGGAAATGTCTTGCTGGTCCAGTCTGGTTCATTCAGCAGGGATTTAGGGAAAGTGCAGTAAGATCTGAAGTCTCTAATCCAATAGATTTCCGTAAACCAAGTGTTCCAGTTCCTGAGCTATGCAACCACTCTAGAGATGGACATTTCTCTCTAAATACCTCACAGAGCTCCAGCCTTTCTTTGGGAAACATCAGAAGTGTCTCATTTAAGGGTTCCCCCGTAGCCACTTATCCGATTCCCAGTTATCAGTCAAACCGTTGGAGTGCTTGTGTCTTGATATGTGCTTCTTTTGTGTATCATCGGAAATAGGAAAATTGTGAACACCCGTTTAATCTGGAATCCCAACCATTGTAGGTTAAAATCACAGTGGTTTAACATTAGGTCCTTTCCTGCAGTATTGCTCCATATTTTTTATGTCATAATGACTAGACAAAGAAAAAAAGCAGCCACCAGAGGAACGTTTGTTGTATAAGTCTGTAGTCAGAAAGGAGACTGATAATCTGGTATAAATTACTCCAGTCTAAATCGCCCCTCTTTCTCATTAACACTGGGTGGAGGGGCAGAGTGAGCATGTTTCTCAGTGGGAATAGTGTTCATTGAGGTAGTGTTGGTCTATATTACACATGCCCAGAGCACATCTGTGTTAAGATGCTGACACCTGCTCTATCTGCAGTGGGTCAAACACATGGATCGCGCTCACACTGTCACACAAACTGTGACTCTTACAGTAGATCATGTTATCTTAAGCTCAGCCCTTTTAAAAGCAATTAGCAAAAAAAGTCAAACTATTTAGTATAGTTATTGTTAAAAGTATCAAATAACTAACTAAATTAATTAATTAATAAACGCAGCTTTTTATACTGTTTGAAGGAGATCTCATTTACATTTTTTAGATCTTTTTTTTTTTGTATTGTTTTACAAGAGGAACAATAACTGTAGTAATTATTATGATATACTGTAAAGTGTTGTTTACTGCGTACATTCGATT